ACCCTAAACCCTACCCCCTAAACTCCAAACAGAAGGGCGCCCTGTGCAGCACGCCTGGGAGCTCGCATCTGCCAAACGCTCCAGCACCTGTTCAGAAAACCCTGAACCGGGTTTACGGTTTAGGGTTTGGGGCTGCAGGGTTCTGGGGTTTAGGGTGTTAGGGTGTAAGGTTTAGGGTTTTAGGGTTTGGGTTTTAGGGTTTAGGGCTTAAGCCCCAATCCCTAAACCCGATAAGTTCCCAAACCTCAACCCCTAAACCCTACAATCCCGAAAGATTCATCCCCGAAGCCCTAAACCCTATATTCCCTAAACATTATCGTACCTAAACCCTAAACCCTAAACCTTAAACCCTACAATGTCTAACCTCTACACCTTATAATCCTAAAACCTAAACCCTAAAACCTATAATCCCTAAACCCAATCCCTAGTCTCCAAGCCATACAAAAAATGATGTTCAGACCCGTGGGAGTCTCCTCTGCGGTTCAACGTTTAGGGCTGCTTGGCTGTTAGGGTTTAGTTTGGGGTAGGGCTTAGGATTTAGGGGTTGGGGTAGGGTTTAGGGTTTAGGGGTTGTAGGGTAGGGTTTTAGGATTTAGGGGTTAGGGTAGGGTTTAGGGTTTAGGGCCCCTAAGACCCTAAGACCTATAAGGGTCCTGAAAGGCTTCCGCAAGGCCCGACAGAAGCTCTACCAGTTCCATTGAGCTCTTGCCAATGCCAGGATCATGCAAGAGGCCGACATGTGCTATCCTAGTCATGACCTTAGGGTTTAGGGTTTAGGGTTTGGCACAGGTGATGTAAGTCTCTGCAGGATCGGATCAACCGCACCAGTCGCAGAAGCCACCTTAAACCCTAAACCCCTAAACCCTAAACTCAAAGGCCTAAACCCAAAACCCAAAACCCTAAACCCTGAACCCTAAACCCTAAACCCCTAAACCCTAAACACCAAACTTTAAACCCGAAACCCTAAACCCCTAAACCTAAACCCCTGAACCCTAAAGAGGAACATGCCTTCCCTCCCTGTGGGGAACGTGTGGAGGTCGGGATCGACTTGGCTTGGGTCAACCTTCCAATTGGGGTTCAGGGTTTAGGGTTTAGGGTTTAGGGCTTAGAGCTTAGGGCTTATATAGGGTTTAGGGCTTAGGGCTTAGGGCTTGGGCTTTAGGGCTTAGGGTTTAGGGTCTAGGATTTAGGGTTTCGGCCTTTCTCTAATACTTCCACGGCGCATTTCGGACTCTCATCTCTCGGCAGGGCTACTACCTAGTCGATCGAGCCTTGCTTCGAGATCCGTGACCCAGTGGCCGACAAGCTGAGGAGACAGAGTACATGTGGGCTTAGTGTTTGAAGGGTTCAGGGCTTTACGGTGAAGTGTTTAGGGCGGCAGGATGCTGAAGGTATAGGAGTCTGGTTTAAATTTCAAGCATAGGGTGTACGGTTTACGGGTTCGGGCTTTAGACATGCTTTCATGTTGAATGAGAGCCGTTGAACCAACACAACAAGAAGTTATCAGAAACCCTAATCCCTTATACAACCCGTATGAACCCTTGCAGACCCCTTATAGCCCTAGATTGATAGAACGTTGAATGCACATGGAGCCTTAGTGAAACAAACCCTAAACGCTAAACCGTTTAAACCCACTCCCTATACCCTAAACCCCGACCCCCTGCACCTGAGCCTCCGCCTTGCGCCAGTCGCTCTGACGCTTGGATCGGGCGGTGTCTCGCGTCGCGGCCTGGATTCAGGCTCTAGGAGTCACGCGCTTCGAGATCGCAGGATTTAGGGTTATGGTTTTAGCCCGTAGGGTTTGGGATTTACGGCTTCAGGCTTGTAGGCCTAAGAGTGTAGGAAGCTGATTAAACCTTCGGCTCTTCCTGGGGCTCTGAAAATAGGTGCGATTAGCCTCGTGTGATAGAAGCAGGGTTTCGATTCATGGGTCGAAGGTGTGTATAGTGTTTAGGGGCTCCAGGGCGTGCTGGGTTTAGGAATCCGGTTAAGGTGATGGTTTGGGGTTTAGAGCTTTTTGGACATGGGGTGCAGAAACGGACATGCAATATATCGTTGAGCATGTGGACCCCTGGGTACTTGGGAGCAGCCCCGTTCAGTCTTCAGTAGGATCGGGTGCAGCGACCGAGCGGAGAAGTATGCAAGCAGATAAGTTGATCGATGGACACATGCCGTACATGAAACTCCACATATACACACACATATGCATTAGGTGTTCTTCATGCGTTCACATGTTTAAGACACTCCAGGCTAGGATCACGTTGCCCATGCCACAAGCCCAGTACTGTCGCAGGGTTCCTATCTCGTCTGGCATACAGTAACGCTTAGCTGTAATCCGCTATAGACCCTTAACCCCTAAAGCTAAGCCCAATAAGTCAGGGTTTAACCCGGTTTAACCCCTTTAGCTATGCCTCATAAGTCCGGGTTCCATCAGAACTTCACGGGGTTCGAAAAAGGGTTGAGGACTCCAGTGTTCACACAGAAGGCAAATGAACACCGCACAACCCCAAAGTCAAAGAGCACTCCACCCATGTGAAGATGTCCTTTAAAACTAGGAACCCCAAAAAACCCTGAACCCGAAACTAGGCACCCCCAAAAGACCTGAACCCAAAACCCTTGCACAGCCCAAACCCTAAACTCCACCCCTCCTCTTCAACCCCGGATCAGGCCTCGGAAACTCCTGAACCCCCACGAGCTTCCGACTCACATCCTACAAACTAAAGCGTCAAAGCCAACAGAGGGGCCTTCATCGTGAGAAGAGGATAGAACAGGGTTTTGGGGCTCATTGTAGTAGGGACTATAAGGGGATCTCGTTACTATTATGAGATCCCGCATATTATATATATATAGAGAGAGAG